CTCACGGTCTTTCCTGCCCGGGCTGGCTTTGAACCATGATCCTCAGATCTCAGCCTCCTGAGTAGCTAGGATTACAGGCATGAGCCACCAGCGCCTGGCTACAAATTTCTTTTAACCAGTCAATCATCCTTACAACTGTCCACCACCCACATTCCCCATTGGCCAGCCACTCCTTTCCTATTGGCTGATCTTCCACATGTCCCGCCCACTGGCCAGCCATCACCTTCCAGTTGGCAACAACCCTGAGCTGGACAGCCCCTTCCAACTCACCCTGGAAAGTGTGTTTTAAACCCACAGAGGTCAATGCCACAGCTGCTGCCTTACTCACCCCGGGTCCGGGTCACAGCCATGACCATGATAGGGACCCCAACCCCAGAAGCCAGGACCCAGATGCAAATGTTGATCAGTTTAGCCTTGGCGGGCGTACGGAAGTCCAGTGCCTTGACAGGATGGCAGACAGCGATGTAGCGGTCCACACTCATCATAGTGAGTGTGAAGATGCTGGTGAACATATTGTAGTAGTCGATGGAGAGCACGGCTTTGCACAGCAGCTCCCCGAAGGGCCAGGTCTCCATCAGGTACTTGGCGCTCTGGAAGGGCAGCGTGCTGGTGGCCAGTGCATCAGCCAAGGCCAGGTTGAAGATGTAGATGTTGGTGGCCGTCTTCAACTTAGTGTACCTGAAAGGAAATGCACCAGCAATGATCCCTTTGCAGATTTCCCTGTCCATGAAACTCAGGAAGGTGAAGTAAGCTGCCCAAGGTCACGCTACGTAAAGGTCAGGGGCACAGGTAGAGGTAGAACCTGTTGCCATCTGATTTGGCATCTCTCTTTCCCATCACAGAAGATGAGAGAGAATCTTTCTTGTGGGTGACTTTGGCAGGAAGTATTTTAGGAAAAATCCCCTTTTTTTTTTTGTATTGGTACTGGGGTTTGAACTCAGGACTTAAGTGCTGTCCTTTAGCTTTTTCCACTCAAGGCTGGGGCTCTACCACTTGAGCCACACCTCCACTTCTGGCTTTGGGTAATTAATTGTGGGATAAGAGTCTCATGGATTTTCCTGGCTTAGCTGATTTTGAACCGAGCTCCTCAGATCTCAGCCTCCTGAGTAGCTAGGATAACTGTGAGCCACTGACACCCGGCCAGTACTGAGCTTTAAACTCAAGACTTTCTCAAGTGATTCTTTTTTTGTTGTTGTTGGTCATGGGGCCAGAATGCTGGGCCTGGGCACTGTCCCTCAGCTCTTCAGCTCAACGTGAGTGCTCTACCACTTGAGTCACAGTGCTACTTCTGGCTTTTTCTGCTTATGTGGTGCTGAGGAATCGAACCCAGGGCTTCATGGATGCAAGGCAAGCACTCTACTAACTGAGCCACCTTCCCAGCCCCTCAAATGATTCTTATGAACTCAAGTTTATTCAGTCTCAGAGACAGAAGGAAACCGATGCCCAGAAAAGCAGCATATACTTACCCAAGGTCACACAGCAAAAGCCTCTAAGCCAAGATGAAAACTGATTCCCAGCATGCTCCATTCTACCCCAAGGCAGGGTAGCACACACTATGTGTCCTCTACCTACTCTTTTAGGCTCCCTCTGATTCCACTCTGTTTTTGAAGGACAGAACAAACATCTGCTGCTTTAAGCTATTCCTTCATGGTGTATAATGCCTTTTGTTTTTGCTTAAAACACACACACACACACACACACACACACACACACACACACACACACAAGGTCTCACTCATTGTCCTCTAGGACTAGCATCTGTCCTCCTAAAATAGCTTCTATTTGCCGTGGGGCTGGGGAAGCAAAAAGTTTTGCTGGGAGACAGCAGAATCCCAAGTGTGGGGAAGTGTCTTCGCCGGGGCTGGGGTGGCAGCTGTGTGGGAGGCGGTCTCAAAGCCCGCAGCTGACTCGTGTAATTTCGCTGCTCTTACGCAGAACAATTTAAGGCTGTTCTTTGCCTTCTATTTTGATTTGTGAAAGTTCCATTCCAGTGGGGGGCTGGGATACTGGGGGTGAGAGCTGGGCCAGGCAAGGCCAAGGGGCCCAGCACTGACTACACCAGACAGAGCCCAGGACACACCCTCTTCTCTCCCTCTCTTTTTCTCTTCTTTCTTCTCTCTCTCCCTCCTTCCTCTCTCCCTTTCTCCAACCAGCTATTTTTTTTTTTTTCAGTCATGGGGCTTGAACTCTGGGTCTGGGCGCTGTCCCTCAGCTCTTCAGCTCAAGGTGAGCGCTCTACCACTTGAGCCACAGCGCCACTTCGGGTCTTCTGGTGGTTAATTGGAGATAAGAGTCTCATGGACTTTCTTGCCCAGGCTGGCTTTGAACTGTGATCCTCAGATCTCAGCCTACGGAGTAGCTAGGATTACAGGCGTGAGTCCCAGATTGCTGATGACCTTCTTGACCTCTCTTTTCTCCTTGGTCTTCTGCTCTCAACCTCCAGTGTCTCCCACACCTAAAGTTCCCTCCCTTCTCCACAAACCAGCTCAGACCACCTCTGGACCCCAGCTCTCCTCACCTTCCCTGCTACACATTGATCTCTTGGTTGGCCTTTAGACCTGAGAAGCCTGCCCTGCCTCAGGGCCTCGGGACTGGCCGGCTCACCTTCACTTCATTGGTTTATGCCCTCATTTTAGTGGAACACATCCTTTAGAGACTTTCTGAGAAAGGAAATATAGGAGGCAAAGAAACTATCCCTTTGTCTGAAAATGCCTTTATTTCATCCTCACTTCTGATTTCTGTCTTCGTGTGTGTGTGTTGGTCCTGTGGCTTAAACTCAGGAGACCTGGATGCTATCCCTGAATTTTTGTGCTACCATGTTGCACTCTACAGCTACAGCTCTACTTCCGGCTTTTTGGTGGTCAACTGGAGATGAGTCCCATGAACATTTCTGCCTTGAGCTGGCTTCAAACAGCGATCCTCAGATCTCAGCTTCTCAGTAGCTAGGATTACAAGCATGAGCCACCAGGGCTCAGCTTCACTTCTGATGTCTTTGATACAGAATAGCAGGGGGAGAGGGACTCGGGATGTGGCTCAGTGATAGAGCACTTACCTAGCACATGTAAGGCCCTGGATTCAATCCTCAGTACTCTTTAAAAAAAAAAAAGAGCTGGGTGCCAGTGGCTCATGCCTATAATCCTAGCCACTCAGGAGGTGAGATCTGAGGATGTAGTTCAAAGCCAGCCAGGAAAGGAAAGTCATGAGACTTTTATCTCCAAACAACTACTAGAAAACTGGAAGTAGCACAGTTGCTCAAGTGGTAGTGCACTCCCCTTGAGCTGAACAGCTTAGGGACAGCACCCAAGCCCTGAGTTCAAGCCCACAACTGACAAAAAAAAAAAAAGGGAGGAAATAATTTCCATCAGAATTTTGAAAGCAAGGAACTGGCCTTCTAGCTTCCAGTGTAACCAGTGAAATACCTAAAACCATGCTCTTTCCTGATGGTTGTCTATCTTCCTCCCCCAAAACTCTCAGGATCTTCTCTTTATCCTTGGTAGTTGGATATTTTGTGATAATGACTTTAGAGGTGACTCATTTGTTCTTTTGTAGGTTTTGTTTTTTTTTTTGGTGGGGGGGGGGTCAGTCATGGGGCTTAAACTCAGGGCCTGGTCACTGTCCCTGAGCTTTTTTTTTTTTTTGGGTCCGGTCGTGGGGCCTGAACTCTGGGCCTGGGTGCTATCTCTCAGCTCTTCAGCTCAAGGTTAGGACTCTACCACTTGAGCCACAGTGCCACTTCCGGCTTTTTTCTTTTTGCTTATGTGGTGCTGAGGAATCGAACCCAGGGCCTCAGGCATTCAAGGCAAGCACTCTACCACTGAGCCACCATCCCAGCCCCTCCCTGAGCTCTTTTGTTCAAGACTTGAGCCACAGTTCCACTTCCAACCTTTTACTACTCTCTCTATGGACAACCTCTATGGTCAATTTTCTGGTGGTCAATTGGAGATGAGTCTCACAGACTTTCCTGCCTGGGCTGGATTTGGACCACAATCCTCAGATCTCAGCCTCCTGGATAGCTAGGATTACAGATGTGAGCCACCAGCACCTGGCTGATTCTTTCATTTGTATTGTTTACTCTCAGTCTAAAGATTGGTGTCCTTCAGTATAAAAATTTCTCACATAATTCTTCTATTAATTTCCTTCCCTCTAGTTTTCCTGGCATCCCTGGAAAATCCATTAGGTAGATATGAAGCTCCCTATATTGACCCTCCAATTTTCTTATATTGCCTTTTTGTTACAAACTCTGGGGAATTTCCTTTTCATTATCTTTCAATCCTTCTATTGACTTTTTAAAAATTATTTAGACTCTTGTATTTTGTTTTCCCAGTGCACATTCCCCTCCTCTCACTCTTCTGTAATATGCCATTCACAGCATCTTAGTTCATGAACACAATATCTTTCCTTAATTCTCAGAGGACACTAATAACTTCTGTATTTTCTTTGGCTGTGCACACTGTCTCCTTGCTGGAAGTATCTTGGCTTGATTATTTATCTGCTTTGGCCTCTCTCTGTCATCCTGCAGATTCCCTTCAAATATTTACTATGGTGTGACTGAGGATGTTTCTCCTCCTGCCTGAGCTGTACCTCCAGCTGTCAGGACTCTGGCTGCAGAGCTGGGAAGGGGTTTGGGACTCCCCCATTTTCCATTTGGTGATTGGCTCTAGTCCTGTGTTGGCTGGACAGGAGCCCACACTTTCTTTAGGTTGTTAACATCTCTAGCAGAAAAAAAGCTTGTTTTTTGTTTTTTTAATAGCAGAGGGGTGGTCAGCTGGCTGTGCAAGGGGTAAATATGGGGGCCTAAGGCTCCTACTGCTCTCTCTGCGGACCATCAACCTCCTACTCCTGTGTTCAGTCCATACCTCACCCCTGCTCAGCTTATTACTCTAACTCTCTGCCAACTGCTTCTCATCTTCTTTGAAGAAGATAAACAGGAATAAGAGGTGAAGGGATGTTGGGCATGGTGGTGCACATCTGTACTCCCAGATACTCAGGAAGTGGGAAGTAGGAAGATCATAGTTCAAGGATGGGCTAGGAAAAGTCAGTATTAAGACACTCTTTCAAACACCAAACTAAAGACAAATGGATTGGGAACATGGCTCAAATGACGGAGCATTTGCCTGGTAAGTTTGGGGCCGAATTCATTCCCTAGTACTGCAAAAGAAAAAATAAGGGAAGGAAAGGAAGAGGAGAGAGGGGGAGAGCTGGGATTTAATGCTGGCAATCTAGTGTCAAGACCTGGTAACCACTTTGCTATTTTGCCCTTCAATACCAGCTACCTTCCCCTTCCCCCCACCTCTATCTCTCATAGTACAAAAGGCAAGGAACATGAAATTATTATAAACTGAGGTCTGTCAGCTGCATCCAACTATTATTAACTGGTCACCTGATTTGTGCCAGGCATTGATAAGAATGATGACAATAGCCCAGGATGGTGAAATATGCCTGTAATCCCAGCATTCTGGAGGCTGAGGCGGGAGGATCATGAGTTTGAGGCCAAGCTGGGTTAATAATGAGACCCTGTCTCAAAACAATTTTTTTTTGTTGGTTGTGGGGCTTGAACTCTGGCCTGGGTGCTGTCCCTGAGGTCTTCAGCTCAAGGCGAATGCTCTACCACTTGAGCCACAGAGCCATTTTCATATTTTTTTTTCCTGGTTGTTAATTGGAGATAAGAGTCTCACAGA